TTGCACAAAACGGTCGGTTGGGCCATTTTGTTGGAGCCGGCATAATTGGTCGATGTAGTCGTCGACCGTTTTCTGTGGGCGGAAGGTGGAGGTGATCAGGGTGGCCCACTCAAGGAAGGTGTGAGGTCGGAGACTGGCGTGGGGATTGGTCATTTCTGTGTACCACCAGTGAGCAGCGTTGTCTAGGAGTCGGCCGCCAGCGATGGGGAGCCAGTGGACGACATGAATGTTGTGGAGGGAGAAGGGTTGTTGAAGTTTGGTGAGAAAAAGGAAGACATCGTCATGGGGTTGGCCTGAGAAGGTGGGAATCTCGTTGGCCTGCGTGAAGGGGGGATTTTGCCTTCTCTGGGGTTAGTGGCGGCAAGGGCGTTGAAATCAAGGGTGGGAGAGGAAGAGTCGACCAGGGTGAAATCATTGGCGGGGTTGGTGGGGATGAGAGCATTTGGGGGAAGTAGAGGAAGAGCGGGATACATAGCTTGTGGAATGGTCTGGGTATAGTTGGGGATGGTGGAGGTGATAACGAGCGAAGTCAAGAGGGGGTTTGATTGGGGGAGGATGGTTGACGACTGTGTGACGGTGGGAGTTTCGGCTGGGTGACTATGGTGGAGGTAGTGGTGGATGAAGGCGGGGGTGTGGAGGATGTGCTAGCGGAGAGGGCGGTGGATGTGGGCACGGTCGTAGAGGGGGGTGCCGTGGTCGTGACCACTGTGATTGTCGGGGTTTGATGCTCGATACAGGTCACACGGTTGGATAGGCCAGAGATATTGGTTTCGATTTTGGTGATGGATGCGCGGATGTCCGTTTGGAAAGAGGACATCATGCGAATGAGGGTGGCGATATCGGTGGCAATGGCAGGCTCGGATCTTTGTTCGCCCTTAAGTTTGCAGGCGAGGCTGTCAACAGACTGGGTGTTGACAGCGGCCATATCGATGCTGGAGGATTGGGCCATGTTTGGGGAAGATGGAGTGGATGCGGTGGCTGAGGCGACGGCTGTGGATGAGGTGGAGGCAGATGCGGCAGCAGCGGCGGCGGCGGCGGCTGCGCGCTGAGAGTTCTTGCTTTGGCGTGGCATGCGGAGATTTGGGAGTGGCGAGGGGGGGGGGGGGGGGAGGGKATTTACAGCATTAATTGATTTATTCAAAAATAAATAAAGGTATTTGCCAAAATAATAAATGAATAAAATTGGAATTAATTTAAAATAAATTACTCCAATTTGGAGTAATTTATTCGAGATTAATTCAAAAATTCGAAAAGGATTTTGTGGGAGAAAAGTTGGAAACACAAAAATTTCAGGAATGAAATAAATGTTGGAAATGTCGAAAAAAGATCATTAATTAAGTATTTGGCACTATTTGCAAATTTACAAGAATTGCAAATGAATAATAAAAAGGAATTATGCATAAATAAAGGGGTAAATGAGGAACTATGATTGATTGGGTGGTAGCGTGGTGGGTAGGGTAAAGAAAAGGTTTGCACGTGGATAGCCTCTGAGGATCCTACTCGTTGTAATCAACGATTCCAAATATTCAACGTCATGACAATTGAATTACAAGATTGATGATGATGATGATGATGATGATGATGATGATGGGGAGGGAACGTAGGGGGGAAAGTCGCGCAGAGGGGGGGAAAGCGGACTCGGGGGATCGCGTGCGGGTTGTGCGTGGGAGGGAGGACGTCGGGGGAAGGAGGTCCTGGTT